TATGTTATTCTGCGTGCGTAATATGCGTTTTTTTACTTTCTACCTGTTATCTTAAGGGTTTTTCCCATTATTTTAATTTTAGTTTTAGAATAACATTATAATACCATTCATATTTTTACTTTTTTATAATTTCAAGAAGAAACCAATCTAATGTATATTTGACATTTGAGGCTTAATTCTATAGAAAAGCACTAAAAGTTTTTCAGTTAGAGTGTTTTCAGCTTGTTTATTTTCATACAAAAATACAGCATGCAGTTGCATAAAACAATGGTATAAACATAATTCAATGTAAATTGTGATAATCGTAATTAATAACCGCAATTACAATTTCAAGGGAATAATTGACAATTACGATTTTTGTCATAATCGTGCAGCCCTAATATATATATATATATATATATATAATAGTTCAGGTTTGCTAATGCCATTTACTGGCATCTTCCCAATGGGTCTCCCATTCCTGCTAAGCTGTAGTGTTTTGGTAGTTGAAAGATAGTGTGGTGTGAATGCATACTAACCAGATCTATGGTCTTGGCTGTAGTTTTGGAATTGTCATCACACCAGGTCTCACACCACAGCCACTCCTGAGGTAAGGACTTGATGGCTACTTGATGGATCATGTTGTTGGGAAGGTCCTGTTAGCATCAAACCCCACAGAGAACATTCAAATTACATTAAAGTCTTCTCTAATGGTTAACATGTGTGATGTCAAGCACATACCTGGTCCAGGTTAGACAGACTGTTGGGATCTTGGCTTAAGGCTTGGTACTGCCCTCTGAGGCGGTCTCCAGCTGCGATCTTCCGGAATTTTTTTAAGTCCACCACATATAATGCACTGGAAAAAAAGGGCAACATTTATTAAACATTACACATATCATATAACAACAGAATCCTCTCAAAAAATGTTAAAATGTTACAGCAAATCTATAATCTATCAAGACAAAATTCACATTCTGTGTCTTAAACATATGTTATTGTGATTTGTTGTGGTCTAACCTTATGTGGTATTTCCTGTGTCCAAGATGAGAAGCCCAGTAGCCAGTCTTCCAAAAACGGTAGCCTTCCATCTCTTTTCGGCTGTCGCAGAATGGTGTGTACCCATAGGGGGCGCCCTCTAGAGCCAGATCTCTCAGCTCCTTCAAATCTGCCCTGACAATCTAAATATAAAGTGTGCTGGGTTATGTTTTGCAACTAGAAGGTATCACTATTTGCTAATGTGCTAACAGGAAGAATTGCTGGAGAAGTGCCTGTGAATTCTCTTGGCTGCTATTAATAAAAAAATGGCAAACTGTAAGACATGTATTGTTAAATCAGATTCACAGGTTGGAAATGGATGCATATCAACATGCAAAAACATAAACACACTATTTTTTATATCTACAACTAAATCTGCTCAAATGTGCAGCATACAACAGAGAACACTGTACAGAGTACTGTTTCCCACAATGCAACAAGCTCTGCATGCCCTTCATGTAGTATGGATAAACTGGAAGTAACATCAGCCATGATTTTTATTATCTTTTTCTTGACTCATTTTGTGTTCAGACCGCCAAGAATTGAGATTCACCCAAAAATGAAACTTGTGTAATTTACTCTCCCTCATGCTGCGTGAAACCCTTCAGACCTCCGTTCATCTTAAAAACACAATTGAAGCTGTTTTTAATGAAACTGAAAGTCCATTTCCCCAAAACTTTGACGCTTCAGAAAGTTCCTAAATACACTGGAAAAGCAATCCATTTGTGAATGGTTCCGAAAGGGACACAATCATGTCTTGCATATGAACAAATTCAATTTAGGTTTTCATTCACATATAAACATGGATCAACATCAACACACATCACATATGGTAAAAAGAAGCTCAAATGTAATGGCTTGACATGCAAAACCAAACCTCACTGTAATGAAGAGGAATCTAATTCTTATGCGTTTGGAACAACATGAGGATGAGTAAATAATTACAGAATTTTCATTTGAATTTTCATCCATGAAATAGGATAAAAAAAAAATGCAAAAAAGCTGTAATTACTTCTGAGATGCCACTCGCTGAATTTAACCTGTATTGAGATCATGTTTGTTGCTAAATGTACAAATATGCTGGTTTTTCATTCAGAACCACTGTTTTTTTCATGCGTAAGGTCACCTGATCAGCGTCTACAAAGATGATCTTGTCCACAGCCAGGGGGAAAAGCACATCCAGGAAAAGGATCTTATAACCCCAGATGATACGTTGCTTTTCTGTCTGCTGGTGAAGCCAGCGGGGCCACTTATACTGGACCAGCTCATACTGGAAACCATAAGCCTTCGCCATGTGAGAGATGGTGTCCTGTACACACACAAGCAGAAAGGGATAAACTACAGAGGACAACACACGCTATATCCAGCACAATATATCAATACACCAAATAATGTTCTTTTTAGCAACATCATATGACCCCTTTAACACATTCATGGATCATTCTCCCCTCATTTTCATTGCTAAGATTATGAAAAAGCATTAATTTAATCTTTAATGTTGGAGCATCCACTGCGTAGCATGACTTCTGTTCTGCTCATGGTTTAATGTTTGAAAACTAATTTAAGGCAGGCAATAAATGTATTAGTATTGCAAGATTACAGTTTTATTATTGGATTATTTTTCTTAAATATTTGATTTTTAAATTCTACAGTGAAATATTGCAGTAGTAATATTTCTTATTTTGTTTATTTTTGTAATATTATTACTATTATTTTATAATCACAAAATGTTAGGGCAAATTGTGTAGCCTTACAAATAAGCATAAACAAAACAAAACAAATTTTTTATTCACAATTGTAATTTTGATCAGAAAATAGCAATTAGATTTTTTACCCAAATTGTGCAGCCCCTATATTAAAAGGGTTAGTTATAATTAAAACTGAAATTGGATATCACACTGAGAGCAAAGCATCACAAAACAAAACTTACATATCTCATAAAAAAAGTTAACTAAAAAAAATCTCATGCCATAAACTTTGTAAAGTCAGTCAAAACCAACATTAAAAATAAACAAAAAAAACCTGTGCACCCTGACTCTCAAAAATAACCTCAGCCAGGCAAATTGGAAATAAGTCATTTCAGCCAGCTCTTGCTATGTTTGTGTACAAAATGCACCAGTCAGTCAGAGAATGGCCAGGTGAGCGCCTAAAGCATGCTGGGAATGATAGCAATCTTACCTTAAATGAGGGGGAGAGGTAGTTTTTGAGGAACCAGAACTTGACCGGGGTTTTGGTGTGTTGAAGGACAGAGAGCATCATTATTCTATAAGGGGAAAAACGGGAAGTAGAAATACGTGAAGAGTTGAAGATGACACTGACATGGGCGCATTCATACAAGTGGTGGTCCTACCTCAGGAAGCGCTCATATAAATGTCCAGAGGCCACTGAGAAAATGTTGAGAACGTCTTTCTTCTTGTCATTCTCGTCCACGCTCGGGCCACCGGCAAAGCTGCAAGACACCCAAAAAACACACACTTATCTCAAAAAACTCGGCACAGCAACAAGGATATAGCTCTGCTAATAATCTGTCATAACAGGATTATGTGGACTATTTGTCGATTACAAAAGATGCATTTTCAGCAGCCATTACTCCAGGCTTCAGTGTCACATGATCCTTTCAAAATCATTCTAATATGCTGATTTGAAAGTGACATGAAAGTGACGTGACATGTGGCCAAGTATGATGACCCATACTCGGAATTAGTGCTCTGCATTTATCCCATCCAAAGTGCACACACACAGCAGTGAACACACACACACCGTGAACACACACCCGGAGCAGTGGGCAGCCATTTTTTGCTGCGGCGCCCGGGGAGCAGTTGGGGGTTCGGTGCCTTGCTCAAGGGCACCTCAGTCGTGGTATTGAAGGTGGGAGAGAGCGCTGGACATTCACTCCCCCCACCTACAATCCCTGACGGTATGAGACCCGAACCCGCAACCTTTTTGGGTTACGAGTCCGACTCTCTAACCATTAGTCCACGACTTCCCCAGATTTGCTGCTCAAGAAACTTTTTTTTTATTAGCAAAGCTGAAAACAGTTGTGCTGCTTAATATTTTTGTAGTAACTGTGATAAACTTTTTTCAGGATTCTTTTAAATAGTTCAAAAGAACAGCATTTTTAAAAAAAAATAGATTTTTTAAATTAAATTAGGTATCAAAATATGAAACTAAATGGAATCTTCAAGTAAATGATGCTTTCTTGGCAATAACTTGCCAAGTTGTTGGTTCAGCCTAATAGGTTTTGAGACAGCACAAGTGATTTTATTTTATTTCATGTCGACAAAGAATTCTGTATGTATGTTCTGAGGTGGTTCAGAGATTTCTGAAGATCTCAACCTCTATCATTACCACAAAACAAAACCAAGTGCCATCTGTAGCTTTCCACAACCACCCTAGCCAAGATCTCACCTACTGCTGCCTCTACACAGATATTCACATTAGACCACTTTTTTAATAGCAAGCATCACACCTTTGGAACATTTCGGTCTCCTGTTTCCAAGCTACATACTTCCCAAGAAAAAAGGTGAGATGAGGTTTGTTTAATAATGTGGAATGGAGGTGATGTAACCCTGCTGAGACAAGGTGGAATTTTGAAACAACCTGGCAAACTATTTCTAAATGTGGAGAATGATGTGTAAAAATCAAGCTGAGGGGAAACTCAGTGAAAAAGATGGATCACAGATAACTAACTGAAATTCTGCTGTGTCACTTACTGACGCAAGAAAAAGTGAGTAAGAGAAAAAAAGTGAAAAATATAGAGATCAAGTTCCCTACCTTTTCTCCAAAGAACTCCACACACTTCTCAAAGACAGCAATGAACAAAGGAGACAGATCACAAAACGTAATAAACAGAGCTGTTAATTAAAGTGCACACCCTCTGCATTTTAATATGCAAAATATACACTACTGTTCAAAAGTCTGGGGTCAGCAAATTTATACAAAGAAATGAATACTTATATACAGAAAGGATGCATTAAATTGATCAAAAGTGACATTTATACTGTTAGAAATGATATTTATTTCAAATAAATGCTGTTCTTTTGAACTTTCTATTTGTCAAAGAATCCTGAAAATGTATCACAGTTTTCACAAGCATCATGTGACATTGAAGCCTGGAGTAACGGCTGTTAAAATTTGAGCTTTTGCTATGAAACTGAGCTTTGCTATGATAAATTACATGAATTTTACATATGTATTAAAACAGAAAACACATTTTACTTATTTTACACAGGAATAATATTTCACAACAGTACAGTTTTTAATGCATTTTGATCAAATAAATGCAGCTTAGATGAACATAAGAGGTTTCTTTCAAAAACATGTAACAATTTTACAACCCCCAAACTTTTGAATGGTAGTGTGTGTATTTACATAGACACAAACAGTCATAGACAGGCCTACCCAGGATCTGCAGATCCTTTTTCACACTGGCTATAGAGATTTTTGCAGAACTTGATGAATGAGTCTGTTATCAAACTATCCAAAAAATTATAAAAAAAAAAAAGGTAAGAACTTTGGACTTTCACATTCTGTAGATTCTATGCAGACCCAGCCATAGCAAAGATCTTGCAGTCTGTTTTTCTGTGATATTTTTTGTGATTATTTAGAAATTTAAAGTGTTGTTCCCCTCTAGCTTTTTAAGAAGTGATCTAAGATGTGATTAGTGCTTCAAAAATCAGACTCACCTGGTTATGGAATCCCACAAGCCTTTGGATTCTGTTCCTTCACTTAGAAGATCCTCATTGAGTTTGTCAGGCTTTTTCTGGACCTAATATTTGAATAGATGTTACTTTTTCATTGGTCCCATCAGCTGGTGTTTTATATGGAGGCATAATAGATTGTGAATACTATAATAACATTACAAACTTACTCTAACTTTGATGATCTTGCTGTGGAAGCTGTTAAGTACCACAATGACATCACCAGCATCAACAGGAGAGTCCGTGCCATCATGTCTAAAACATACATACACAACACTATATGATCACAAATATACTTTATGTGCACTTCCTGAAGGAAATATCAGTGCTTACAATTCAGCAAATGAAGCATGTTAAAAGTTACAGACCTGTAACTCTAAATACACAAGGCTTACTTTATCTACTAAAGTTTGAATGGTGTCTATAGGTTTTGCAGTTGAATTACAGATTCATTAAACTTAAGAAGATTAACAAAAACAATGCAGAAGAAGAAGAAGGGGAAGAACAACAACAATAGAAAAACAACAAAATAAAAAAAACTAGAACAAGTACAAGACAAACAGAAAAACAACAACAAAGACAAAAAATAAACAGAATAACTACAAGAACAATATAAACAGAAGAACAAGAAAACGAACAATAACAAGGATAAAATAAACAGACAAAGAACAATAAGGACAAAATAAACAGAAGAACAACAAGAAAAAGATTAACAGAAAAACAATAACATCAGCCAGGAGAATATAGAACAATGACTATTACAAGACATACAGAAGAACAACACAGAGGAAAAGAAAACAATGAACAAAACAAAAATGACAACAAAGAACAAGGACAAAAGAATGAATATGATGAAGAAAAACAACAAAAAAAGGGCAAGAACAAGAAGAAGAGGGACATGAAGAAGTACGATAAGAACAACAAGGATGAAAAACAATGAAGAAGATGAAGAACAGCTAGTAAATAATTTGAGGAATATCAATAGTTCTGCCTTGCAATCACTGTAATTACTCTGATTCCTCACCAATGACTCACAATTCAATACTGGATTTATTTTGAGCGTTCCTTTTGTCAAGTTGTTCATGTCTCAGAAAAAAAGTTGTGATGACATGAAAGCATAATAAATGTCCAGTGATTCAGGACACAGAGTGCCATTAGTTCTGGCATCATAAATGAAACCCTGGATCCATTAGGCTGCACTTCCTCAGAACAGGATATCAGTGAATTGCACGTTGACAAAACACTGCCTTTCCATTCATTTAGCAGTCAGCAGTGTGTGTCTGAGAGATACTTTCTTTTTCTCTCTCACAGTTGGTTTTGTTTTGTGCCAGACCTCAGACTGTATGAATAATCACACTAGCAGTGTGAAAAATGACACTGCGCTCTAACTTTAACCGGAATGAATGGGGTATAAATTTTACTGTCTTCATTAATTCTCAAAGAAAAAAACAACCATGTTTCCTTAAAGAACTGCTAAAATGTGCACAATCAGAAGGAGGAATGAAAATTGATGACAAGCATTTTAGAGAGTTTTGATGTGGACTATTAGTTTGAGTGTGGCCGTTTCTTTTTGTCCTTTATTTTGGATGGCATCGGTATTCCTCGTACAGCCTCGCTAGCAGACCCAAGATGACAGGTTTGACTCCCAGAGAATGCATGCGCTGATAAAAATCCGTAACTTTAAAGAATTTTAAATCAATGTGGAAACAAGATATGCCAAATGTAACCTAACTTTCAAACGTTTGGGGTCAGTAAGATTTTATTTTATTTTTTTAAAGAATTTAATATATCCAGAAAGGATGCATTAACTTGATAAAAAGTGACAGTAAAAGACATTTATAAAGTAACAAAGATTTCTATTTCATATAAATGCTGTTCTTCTGAACTTTATATTCATCAAAAAATTATTGCCCAGACTGAAAATCGAGGCAAAAAACGGGGCAAAAGTAAATTAATTCCAGCTTTTAGAATGATTTCTGAAAGATTGTGACACTGAAAACTGAAAACTTACCTTTACCACAACAGGAATATATTATTACATATTACAATTTAAAATAGCTCTTTTAAATACAAAGTTCTGGCATGAAACTCTAGATGGCGCAGTCCGATAGATCTAACTCAATATGACAATGACATCATTATCACGTCACATCTGATTGGTTCTCTCTTGTATTGGTAGCCAATGAGCTCGCTGCTCAACATTCAAAAACTTGGCCAATGCTTGTGGTAGCAGCTGCAGCGCACTTCAGAAACCCTCCACCTTCCCCAGCTCCACCTGTATAGATCTGCTTCGGGGTGATCATGTATGCTATGAGGGTTATTCATATAAGTTACATGTGGAGCAACTGTATTTCTTACATGCTCACAGCAGCATGTTGTGGATGTATTGGCAGTAGCAAGTCTCGGTACTTGCTCTGCTGCACCACCAGCAGCATAGCAGATCTATTCCGCCAAGACCAAATACATTAACATTGTTATGTACATTACCACGCCAATCCCTCCGAGAGTTGTCATGACAGAACTGTATTTTTGTTCAAATAAATGCAGCCTTGGTAAACATGAGATTAAAAAAAACAACAACTGAAAAATCTTACTGACCACTAAACTTCTGAACATTAGTAAGTAAAAGTAAATCTGTGAACAGAAAAAAAATCTCACGCTTGTATCTGATAGATGTCCTCTGAGCGGCCCTCACGCAACCTCAAGATCCAGGCACCGGGGTTGGCCTTCAACTGGAAATAGCCCTGTGAAATGCAGTGGGTTAGCTTTTGCTTTTGTGTTCCACAGAAGAACATCAGTCATACAAGTTTGGAACGACATAACGGTGGGTTAATGATGCGAGAAATCAAATTTTGGGTCCATGTAACTCTTACCAAACTAGGAAGATTCCTAGTACAATAAATACAACATATATTGAGGAAAAAGCAAAGAAGATAGAATAAACTCACCAGGTTGGCCATGACAATGGTGTCATGCATGAGAGGTTCCTGTCTCATGCCCAGTGTAAACTGAAGTCCTCTGGGAGGCTGACCTGTGGACAGGTCAAAACAGTGGCCCTCCAACAGCAGATACTCAAGCTCATACTCTGCATTGACTACACCACTGACCTGACAAAACAGTAGAAGAAGACTCATTTATCCATCCAAATCCATCATACTGACACTAAACATCTTTTTCTTGGAGATTCTGGCTGATCAGGACACATGTGAACATTTCATAGCACTATTGCAGCAACTGTGCAGTCTGAACTACAAAAAAATAATCACGTGCACTACTCAGCATTGGTAAATGTATAAATACTGCATTTAGAGTTAGAATTCATACCTCCTGTAGGTGGATGTTATCTAGATCATATGGGCTCCTGACCGCCTCTACCATCCAGCTCTCTGGGGTGATCATATTAAGAGTGAGCAGAGGGGATTCTGGGATTTCAGTAAAGCGGGCCACAGGGCCAGGGGAAAGGGAGTTGTTGCCAAAGAATGAAACATCCAGTTCTAAAACATAGCGATAAAAGCTGCCAGAAAGACAATGGAAATGTATAAAACATCAATCTTATAAACTAAACTGGTGGTATGTTGTTATTTGGGAATAGCTAGGAATTCATGACAAAATATTTTCAGTATACTTCTAATCTATACTTCTAAATCTGACTTCAACTTTTTTTGGGAATAAACCAAGTATGATTAGTTATTAACAAATTTTTTACCTTTATTTTTATTACTGATTTTCAGGAATATTATTTGCATAATATTAAAGAAAGAGAGGGAAAAAACATAAAATAATAAAATAACTAAAATAACAGGACAAGGGATATACATTCTGATTTTGGGGTAACTAGTTTAACAAATTCAGATTATGGTTTACATTACAATACTCCACCCATTTCTTCCAATATTAACAAAAAAAAAAAGTTGTCTTTCCCGCAGCATGAGATCACAATTTCTCTAAGAAAGAGAGGGAAAAAACATAAAATAATAAAATAACTAAAATAACAGGACAAGGGATATACATTCTGATTTTGAGGTAACTAGTTTAACAAATTCAGATTATGGTTTACATTACAATACTCCACCCATTTCTTCCAATATTAACAAAAAAAAAAAGTTGTCTTTCCCGCAGCATAAGATCACAATTTCTCTAAGTTTCATATCAATTTCTATGAAATGCAGGTGTCTTATATCAGTGCAGCTGCGCTAAGATGTTTCACCACATCTTTTTTATACATCAGCTAAGGGGTAGTCGGTCCACAGAAAATATAAAACTCACAGATCAGGGTCTATCAAACTCCAAAAAGAGCTTCTAAACTGTTGCATTAGTCCTTACAGGTAATCTGCAGATTATTTAAAAAAAATGTGCTTTGTATTGAAAACATGACCCCCCCCCAAGATTATGCATTCGGACTTCACATTAACCATTTTAACCACTGAACTCTGGAGCTGAAGTTTAATTAAACTTTTGCTCTCACCTCTTCAGGGGCATCTCAGACAGCTTGGCTCGACAGTTCATGAACACCTGCACTTTCATATTGACCACTTGACCAAGCACCTGCAGCACACACACAGAGGAGAAGGCCTGGTTATTAACCACTCACACACTCACAAACAACAGGGTTCAGGAGGGAAGGCTCCAGGTCACGCTCCACAGGACCGCATACAGATGAGCCAACCGCTCTCATTTCACGTGCTACATCTATATAAAAAAAGTTCTTTAAGGATCCACAGACCATAAAAAAACAATGAAACGAATAGGAGGTTGGACATTAAGAATGATTTTGGAAGCCTCTGCAATGACAAAGATCATTGTCTCTCAGCTGAATCACAGCACAAACAAGGCCTGAGGAACAATACACACTTAGACGTGACCAAAGTTGTACGTACAACTAATAAAGGAGCCAACTTCTGTGCAACTCTGGTGAGAGGATCCACGATGGCAACCACATCATAGAACACCTCATCTTCCCGCTGTGCCAGCTGAAGAACGCTGTTAAAAGATACATCTGGTCAGCTTGATTCATTGGTAGTGTTGTGTTAATGAGAAAAACGGAAGTAGAGGCTTTTAACATACTGATAATGCAAATGGACTACTTCAGTGTCACAATTAGCTGTGAATATGCATAAATAATAAGAGGAGCTGATCATAGCCATGGAAACCCAGTTGGGTGGAAGGGGTTTATGTTTGAATATGCAGCTGACTCACACTTTCATTGAGTGAGTTGTCTGACCAATTTGTGATTTAGTTTCAGACCCATTTATGAACCGATAAGAGTGATTAATTGAAAAGAACTGACTCAAAGGATACATTTACAAAGCAGACATCATCACTGAGACACTTATGCAACCATGTTATTTTCTATGGTCTGCAGTCACAAAAGCGGCAAAAGAGTCTGGTGAAATGCATTGGGGTGAAAGTATTTATTTTCTTTTTAAAATACGGACAGTCTTAGTACTGCACCTGTGTTTGTCCTTCAGAAATTTGACGTCTTTCCTGGCCTCTCCTTTAGGTGATGCAGTGAGGAGAGCGTCTACTTTCATGATTAGATCACTGGCCCTGTGAAGAGCAATAACAGGTTTCAGTTTGCCTCTCTCAAACAAATAATATTACATCTACAGTTATATTGGCTTGGGGTGACAAGCAAAAACACAGCATACTTTTGGGCATTCAAGTTCATCTGCTTGATCTTAGATTTAATTTTTTCTGCTGAAGTGTGAAGTGTGATCTTCTCTAGCAGATGGAAATCTTCCACACTGAACTCTTCTTCCTCATCCAGTAGGCTCAGGACCTAGTGAAGACATTAAACTCATTGTTAGTCAGAAGTGACGTTCGGTGGAAGTCACAGGCGGAATTTCAGTCTGCATCTACAATCAGCACCACGGGTCTAAAGTGTCAGAGCATGTGTGCTTACTGCTTACCATTGTACAGCGGCTCAAACTTCTATACCCAGAACACTTCAAAACCACCCATATCCAAATAAGAGAGACAGTCATTTATATGCATGTCCATAGCAGAACATTTTTAATGCTAATCAAAGCAAGGCCAACCGCCAGACTGTCGCTCTGGCTTTTAATATCAACATGCTTTTTTTTTCACCCTGAATGTACTCTCGAGTTTTTTAACACAGAATATGAAAGTTAACCAGCTTTTAATTTCTTGCTAATTTTGTTTAGCATCTTTTCGTTTACATTTGGCTAGTGAACCATGTCATCTGCAGAGCAAAACCCTTTAATGGTTTAGAGCCAATTAGACTGCAGCTAAAAGAAATGAATGACAAATACCTCACATGCCTCAAAAGTGAGTGTATATATATATATATATATATATATATAAATCTAATGTTTTTGTAGTAATATATAATTTTAAATAACTGTATATAATAAATATCATTACAAAACCATTGTGCCTGTATTAGAAATGTATATTATTTAGCCCATATTTTAATATTTATTATATACAGTTATCTAAAATAATATATTACTACAAAAACACATATACACACACACACATACTACATATACACATATATAAATATATATATATATATATATATATATACAAGTGTACATTTTTATATATAAGTGCAAATTTTTATATCAGTTACAAAATCATTGTGCCTGTATTAGAAATGTCTATTATTTTGCCCATATTTTAATATTTACTAAAAAAAAAAATTTAATATAAATTTTTATATCAGTTACAAAATCATTGTGCCTGTATTAAACATGTCTATTATTTTGCTCATATTTCAATATTTATTAATAAATAAATAAAATAAATAAACACACATAAAATATTAAATGTTATATAAATATACTTAAAAATGTTATAAAAAATACTTAAATATATATTTTAGCCCTGTTTTATATGAACTATCTAATAAACCCAAAGAAAATAGCGGAAATTATGAAACCATAGCTTTTTTTAGGATGAAGAAAAATTCTGGGGATCACTTTGGTGTGTTGGAGAATGATGGAATGTCACTGATGTTTCAGGCTGCAGCCCATTTGGTGCTTGTCTGTCAACAAAGACTCTGCTGAAAAAGCACAGCGTTATGACAGTTCTGCGGTTCCATGTGACCTGCGACCCCTGCAGCAGAGGATGCTGAGTGGACGCTGGTGAATTAACGCCAGGCTTCATCTCTCTCCTCCTCTCCTCACAGGTTAGGACAGGCCAAGCAAACTGCTTAATACTGAGTCAACAAAATGAGCGGTCCCATGTGAGGGACCAACTGGTGAGACCTTAGAGTTCAGACTATTCATCATCCAGATCAGCGGTCCGTACCATAGGTCATTAGGTTATAAATGATTTCATAACTCCCATGGAAATTTTCTTTAGGTGACCAAAGGAGGAGGGGTTGTTTGTGAATCTCACCCTGCCGTTGCTGACTACAGCTCTCTGTCCGGCTTTCAGCTTCAGGACTTCCTTACAGTACTTCTGATGGCTGTGCAGGAAGTCCACCTCCATCGTGTTGAACTTCTTCTCAAAGGCATCATGGTCCATACCCTAAAGGAGACCAAACACATATTTAACACTTAAATACCTGGAAAAGGCAACATAAATAATTACTACTTGGAAGAAAAAAATCAGCAGCTACTAGCATACTCCAGTCTTTGATATCACATGATCTTCCAGAAATCATTGTAATATATGCTGATTTGTTGCTCAAGAAACATTTCTTATTATTACCAATGTTGAAAACAGCTATATACCTACTATTCAGTACATATATGTATAATACATACTGAATCTTTACTGACACAAAGAATAATTATTTTCAGAATAATAATTCTTCTGAATAAATTTTGCACTGAAGGCACAGGGAGTGAAATCTTGTGCGACCCCTGGTTTGGGGTCCCCTGAGTTGAGCTAAGTGTAGTAAAAATGTGGAAAGAACAAATCGATCAGCTCATTAGTTTGTTTTTTGATTACACTGCAATGAGGAAATAGTCAATCAGTGAGTTATTGACAACTAAAGGGGGCACATTTGTGCAAGTGCAGTCATTAGAGTATTTTGAGAGGAATATTAAATTGTCTAGACCTATGAAAAATGTGTTGCCATTGGAGGCCGTGTAGCGCTAATCAATCATTAAACATTTTCATTTATCAGACTTGTAATGAAAAATGGCTTCAGTGCCAATAACAAATCTCGGGTGTATGAGCTGTGCAGAGTCAGATTATTAGTGATTCCAGCATTTGGCCCTTATGAAAAGGAACGAAATGCTAATATCAGCACAACACCTCTCCCTGCCATCCAATAATAGAGCAATTACAGGTCCCAGACACGAGCTCTCAGGGAACCAAGAATCTCTCTCCAACCATTTTCAACTAATAAAACTCAGGAATGCGGGTTGGATGGAACACTTTCTCTTATCTTATATGTCACGATGGAAATAAATAGAAGGAGCAGGACAACAAAATAACAAGAGGACAGAAAGAACCAAAAGAAAGCTCTCCATGTATCTTACAGACCAATCAGATTTTCTGAGAGTTGCAATACTCTGTCAATAAGACCCTAGATTCCAATTGCGGTTGTAGGAGATACAGGGCAGCCATTCCCAGAAATGTCGTTTGTGTGCAAGTCTGAGAAAATTACATGTGGTTGAGTGGTTTTCATTGGATGTGGTGATGGGGTGAAGGCACACCATGGAAAAGAAGAGAGGCCCTGCTTGTGTCATTTCATGGTGATGACAGGAGGAAACTATAAAAGTTGTTGTGTGCTTTGGAAGACACAAGCCTTCTAGACTGCAAGTGGGAGGACAAAAGCTACTACGTACTAAGAAAACACATTAAATGAAAGCAATACATCATATAAGGCAGTGCATTACAATGATTTTAACATAATTAAAAAGTGTTGAAACTATGTAAAATATCAATTTATATTACAGCTAATGATGCACCATATATCTGTATTATATTGGTTACTGCACAATATTTAAGATTAAATTTAAGATTAAATTTAATTAATAAATAAATAAAATAAATAAACACACATAAAATATTAAATGTTATATAAATATACTTAAAAATGTTATAAAAAATACTTAAATATATATTTTAGCCCTGTTTTATATGAACTATCTAATAAACCCAAAGAAAATAGCGGAAATTATGAAACCATAGCTTTTTTTAGGATGAAGAAAAATTCTGGGGATCACTTTGGTGTGTTGGAGAATGATGGAATGTCACTGATGTTTCAGGCTGCAGCCCATTTGGTGCTTGTCTGTCAACAAAGACTCTGCTGAAAAAGCACAGCGTTATGACAGTTCTGCGGTTCCATGTGACCTGCGACCCCTGCAGCAGAGGATGCTGAGTGGACGCTGGTGAATTAACGCCAGGCTTCATCTCTCTCCTCCTCTCCTCACAGGTTAGGACAGGCCAAGCAAACTGCTTAATACTGAGTCAACAAAATGAGCGGTCCCATGTGAGGGACCAACTGGTGAGACCTTAGAGTTCAGACTATTCATCATCCAGATCAGCGGTCCGTACCATAGGTCATTAGGTTATAAATGATTTCATAACTCCCATGGAAATTTTCTTTAGGTGACCAAAGGAGGAGGGGTTGTTTGTGAATCTCACCCTGCCGTTGCTGACTACAGCTCTCTGTCCGGCTTTCAGCTTCAGGACTTCCTTACAGTACTTCTGCTGGCTGTGCAGGAAGTCCACCTCCATCGTGTTGAACTTCTTCTCAAAGGCATCATGGTCCATACCCTAAAGGAGACCAAACACATATTTAACACTTAAATACCTGGAAAAGGCAACATAAATAATTACTACTTGGAAGAAAAAAATCAGCAGCTACTAGCATACTCCAGTCTTTGATATCACATGATCTTCCAGAAATCATTGTAATATATGCTGATTTGTTGCTCAAGAAACATTTCTTATTATTACCAATGTTGAAAACAGCTATATACCTACTATTCAGTACATATATGTATAATACATACTGAATCTTTACTGACACAAAGAATAATTATTTTCAGAATAATAATTCTTCTGAATAAATTTTGCACTGAAGGCACAGGGAGTGAAATCTTGTGCGACCCCTGGTTTGGGGTCCCCTGAGTTGAGCTAAGTGTAGTAAAAATGTGGAAAGAACAAATCGATCAGCTCATTAGTTTGTTTTTTGATTACACTGCAATGAGGAAATAGTCAATCAGTGAGTTATTGACAACTAAAGGGGGCACATTTGTGCAAGTGCAGTCATTAGAGTATTTTGAGAGGAATATTAAATTGTCTAGACCTATGAAAAATGTGTTGCCATTGGAGGCCGTGTAGCGCTAATCAATCATTAAACATTTTCATTTATCAGACTTGTAATGAAAAATGGCTTCAGTGCCAATTACAAATCTCGGGTGTATGAGCTGTGCAGAGTCAGATTATTAGTGATTCCAGCATTTGGCCCTTATGAAAAGGAACGAAATGCTAATATCAGCACAACACCTCTCCCTGCCATCCAATAATAGAGCAATTACAGGTCCCAGACACGAGCTCTCAGGGAACCAAGAATCTCTCTCCAACCATTTTCAACTAATAAAACTCAGGAATGCCGGGTTGGATGGAACACTTTCTCTTATCTTATATGTCACGATGGAAATAAATAGAAGGAGCAGGACAACAAAATAACAAGAGGACAGAAAGAACCAAAAGAAAGCTCTCCATGTATCTTACAGACCAATCAGATTTTCTGAGAGTTGCAATACTCTGTCAATAAGACCCTAGATTCCAATTGCGGTTGTAGGAGATACAGGGCAGCCATTCCCAGAAATGTCGTTTGTGTGCAAGTCTGAGAAAATTACATGTGGTTGAGTGGTTTTCATTGGATGTGGTGATGGGGTGAAGGCACACCATGGAAAAGAAGAGAGGCCCTGCTTGTGTCATTTCATGGTGATAAACTATAAAAGCTATAAAAGTTGTTGTGTGCTTTGGAAGACACAAGCCTTCTAGACTGCAAGTGGGAGGACTACGTACTAAACGTACTAAGAAAACACATTAAATGAAAGCAATACATCATATAAGGCAGTGCATTACAATGATTTTAACATAATTAAAAAGTGTTGAAACTATGTAAAATATCAATTTATATTACAGCTAATGATGCACCATATATCTGTATTATATTGGTTACTGCACAATATTTAAGATTAAATTTAAGATTAAATTTACTTTTATCAGTATATACACACACACACACACACACACACACACACACACACATATTGTCCATATGGATAAAGTTACGTTTTAAAAACACTAATAATTTGATAACACTGTAAAATGTAATCTTTTTAAAATTAATATCCATCTTTTATACTGTACATTATAAGGTTGTGATGTCTAAATTCACTCGTAGTACTTGTAACAATGTAGAATTGTAATATCAGCCATGTTTATTGGCTTTTCCGTATTGACCAGAAATGTAATATCGGTGCACCTCTAATAGTTGTTTTTTTTATAGTTGTATAAAATGTTCTTTCTCCAAAATCTGTTTTTTTGAGGTCATTCATCTGCATCAATATAATTCTATAATAATCTTGCAGCCATAAACAGCCAACATGGAATTATGTATTTCTGTAATATACTTTCTGGTATTTCAAATCAGACTGACAGGAGAATGGCACATTTCCAGCAACTTAACTCAAGTGACATAAATTAAAATGGAAAAAGAAAAAAAGTCAGACAGGCTAGAAAAGAACAGGTGTGTTAAGATAAATCCAAGTCAAAATGCTCTACACGTAATTCCACATTACCCAGACACAGTATTTCACACTCCACTGACCTGTTTAAGTAAGTGCTTAATCTTGGTGCCTTGTTTGAGGAGCTCCACATTTTCTTCTTTGAGGAGTTTTAGGGTGAAGTCGAGCATGTTCTTGCTGCTTTGGGTGAGGAGAGAAGCCCAGACGGCTCGGTACAGAGCGCTGTTGTCCTCTGTGGGCTTTCCACTGGGGTTATTGATCACCCCGACACGACAGTTGGAGCTGCTGGATTTCTACAAACAAACACTGTGGATTAGAGACTCTCTCCAAAAGGAGACCAAAGCAAACCAGTAACAAACTATGTGATTATGAATGTCTTAAAACATTTGGGTAAGTTTACTTAACAAAATGAAACAGTGATCATCATATAGAGATTTTGGGAGGAAGAATTGTGATATTAGTAAAGTCACTTGTATGTAAAAACAAAAAAAAAACAGATTTGATTCAATGAATCATTTGGGAGCTAACTGGCACTAACTGTTTTTTTTTTACAATAATATTGCGATTTTTAAAATGTATACTTAAAAAAAACATTCAAAATGGGGATTACTCTGCATTGTACTTTGTGTGCGTGTATATATATATATATGTATATACATACATACACACACCTTGCTACGTGTACTGCGTTAGGCTAACCGAGACTTGTCATTTGCACTT